GGAAATATTTCAAGGACTATTTCGCTCCACCGGCACTCGAGTTATCCCGAATAAGGGAGGCAAAAGTAAGACTCCCGATGATGGTAGGAAGCCTCAAAAGCCCAACGACAAGGAGCAATCGGATGAACCGGAAGAAGAACATTCGCCTCAGAAGCATACACCGAATCTCGAGGAGTTGCGCCTCATGTATCTTGAAAATCTTATTCTAGAAGAGAAGCTGAAGAGAAGAGCCCGACGAATTAGACGGGAAATGGTCAAAGAATCGCGACAACGCCGGCGACGTAGACGAAGACGTGGTCATGGACACATCAACAGAGACATGTTGTTAGCCAAGTTGATCATGGAGAATAGCTGATGGTCAAGTGGTTGTCATGGCGTTAGGTTCGAGAGACTCATCCCTTTCAAACGAATTTCTCAAGATCTCCTCAACTTTATGACGGTTCGTTCGTCAGAAATCAAGGACGAGGATAGGTTCGCAATCGGACTGACACAAAATTCATGCAACCATAATGCTGACTATTTTAACCTGTTGTTCATTTGCATCCGATCATCCGTTACTGTTCAAGAGAACCCTTGAGTCCTGAAGTTGTTGGCGTTTTCACTCGACCACTTTTGATGGTCTACCCCTTTAGACTTGCTTCCCTTCAGGGCGCCGCATGGACTGCCGGTCGAGGAGAAGGGCTTGAACTACATCACTTAATAGTCCCTTTCCACCGATCGTTCGGGGTGCGATTGAGGTACCAATGAAGAGTTTGGACAATGTATCACACTGCCAGCAGCAGATTGAACAAAGAGGCTCAATGCGGCGGTCTTGAATGCAAGACTCGAAAACCATTTTCGCTCAAGAAGTCTACTTGTCAACGGTTGGTCGGCGCAATGTCTGTATGCCGTCCTGAGGGGTAAGGACACAACCGTTTGGGCGAGTCGGTCAGCAAGAGGTGGGAAAGCAGCCTGTGGTACCTGAAAATCCCTGAATACAGTCGGCAGGCCAGGTTTTTATAAGGTTTGGTGCTCATGCGATAATGTTTGTGTGCGAGGGAGACTTGTCGGCCCATAAAGAAGAGGTTGTCCGAACCAAAGACTGCTTGCAAAGGGGTATGGGTCAAAAACACACGGTCTCTACGAGTGATATGAAACACAACATATCTTAGGTCGTCGAGACTACAAGAGATGCTTAGCGGAAGATTATGCAGTCAATAGAAGTCACCAACAAGATCGACATCCTGAATGGGAGAAAAGAGTGTAGGAAATTAAGCGAAAACTAATTTGAGGTATGAAGAACTAAATGGTGTTGCAGAGACGTGATTCGACTTGTTTTCTAGTGTCCTGTTGTGCATCTTACCTGGAGTCCTCTGCCATCGTATCCGTAATAATTTCCAGCGTCCGAACATGTACTTGGTACATGTCCAGTTAATTTTCCAGCCTCATTCATAATGGGCCTTGGCAATTTATTAAGCTTTAAACCACAACTCGTCAGACAGACAAATGAGGTACGTGTCTTGATAAATTTCTGCAGAACCGTTCTGAGATACCTTCTTCTGTCTTGGTGCATTCACCTGCTCCAAAATCCTTGTATCGCCTCATTCACCATCACAACTTCTAACTTGCCTATTTTAGCCTAGTCCAGGTGTGCCCTGCTGAGGAGATTTACTAAGGCTGACTTCCACTTTCCTCAGCGTCGTGATGATATTTTTGAGATAAGTTGGCCATTTCAATTTGTAATCTACTATATCCGAGTTCTGTAAGGGTCCTCCTCTTTTCCTGAAGGATAAGTTTGTTATCTTCCCGCTTCAGCGATGGTATTCGATCACCTGATCTGACCTACTCGTCTCGAACTGCACCAAGTATACGGTCCGAAGCTTAAAATTATCACGGATACTAAGGCAGAGGACTTCGGACTCTGAGGTCAAGA